CCGTGAGCCATGGCCGCTAGGCCTGCGCGTCCGGACCCTGTGCTCCGAAACGGGAGAGGCCGCAAAAGAAAAAGGCCCGCGTACCAAAAAAAAAAAAAAAAAAAAAAAAACCACAAAAACATACCCATATAATGGATCTCTATAGAAAGGATAAATTATTCAATATGTGCCCAGGAAAATTGGTAACTGTTTGGAAAAAGATCAAAAATTATTTTTTTATTTCACATCGGGACTTCTCTGGTAGCACAGTGGTTAAGAATCTGCCCGCCAATGCAGGGAACACGGGTTCAAGCCCTGGTCTGGGAAGATCCCACATGCTGTGGAGCAAGTAAGCCCATGTGCCACCACTACTGAGCCTGTGCTCTAGAGCCCACGAGCCACAACTACTTAGCCTGCGTTGCAGGTACTGAAGCCCACACGCCTAGAACCTGTGCTCCACAACAAAAGAAGCCACTGCAATGAGAAGCCCGCACACCGCAACAAAGAATAGCCCCTGCTCGCCACAACTAGAGAAAACCCATGCGCAGCAGCAAAGACCCAACGCAGCCAAAAATAAATAAATTAAAAAAATTTTTTTATTTCACGTCATTAACCAAAAATGTCTGAGATCTAAATGTAAACACAAAAACCTATGAAGCATTAAAAAAATATACAAAAATATTTTATAACCTTGGAGAAGAGGAGTTCTTCTTAAGAAAGACACAAAAAGTAAAAGGCCTCAAGGAAAAGTGTGATACATCTGACTACATCCAAATGAAAAAAAAAAAGTGTATGGAGAAGATGCCATAAACAAGGTTAAAAGAAGCAAAGCAACAAGCTGGAAAATTACATTATTTTCAAACAGACAAGAGACCTAAATCTAGGATGTATAGAGAATTCCTATAAAGCAATGAAGATCTAAACAAATAACAACTCATCAAAAGATACTAACAGCAATTTACAAAGTGAAAATACAATGGACATAAGAACAAAAGTTCAGAAACATACTAGAGAGAAATTCAAATTAGATAAGCTACTTTTACCATAATAATGGCAAAAATTAAAATGTTTGCAAATGTTAGGCGTTAATTAGGGCGTGAAAAAATGGGCACATTCCTGTGCCACTAGTGGGGGTATAAAGTAGTCAGCTACTTCAGAAGATAATTTGACAGAACTATTAAAATTTGAAATGTACATGCCCAACAATTCTACTTTCAGGTAGAAATACTCCCTCATGTGCTCAGAAAGCATATATAAAAATAGAGATGTTGGGCTTCCCTGGTGGCGCAGTGGTTGAGGGTCCGCCTGCCGATGCAGGGGACATGGGTTTGTGCCCCGGTCCGGGAGGCTCCCGCGTACCGCGGAGCGGCTGGGCCCGTGAGCCATGGCCGCTGAGCCTGCACGTCCGGAGCCTGTGCTCCGCAGCGGGAGAGGCCACAGCAGTGAGAGGCCCGCTTACCGCAAAAAAAAAAAAAAATTGAGATGTTGATCAGCCTATTTTTTGTAAAACCAGAAACCTAAATGTCTGTCAATAAGATAATAGATAAATAGAATCTGGAACATTTTATGGGATACTTGGGAGCAGTTTAAAAGAATGAGGGATTTCCATATGTAATGACATGTAACATTATGTGTGAAAAAAGAAAATTGCAGAAAAATATCCACAGAATGGTCTGTTGCACGTGTCAATCTTGTTTGTGCTCATGCAAGGCTTCTTAACGGGGATAAAATATATATATATATGCACACACATATGAGTACACACACATATATATACATACATATATACGCACATATACACATATATGTATGTATCTCCACAAAATGATGCTATTCATGTTTTAAAAAAATAGAAAAGAACACACACACAGCAATACCATCTACAGCTGTAATGCTAAGTCTACATAGGAGGTAAATGTATAGAAAATGGTATGAAAAAATGCCTTCAGACCTGGGGGTATAGTAGTGATCTGGGGGCAGGGGAGTGACCACGTTTGAAGGGGGCAATTCTAAGAGAATTTTCCACTTATCTCTATTGTTTTACTATCTCATAAGAACACATTTACACATGATTTTTAGAATTCAATATTGTTTCTTTTACAAAAGAAAATAAATTTTTCTCAGGAAAAAAATAATCTGCAGAGACCCCAGTCCATTTACTATTTTTTTTAAGTTCTTTTTATTTTGATGTGGACCGTTTTTAAAGTTTTTATTGACTTTGTTACAATATTGCTTCTGTTTTTATGTTTTGGTTTTTTGGCCACAAGGCACGTGGAATCTTAGCTCTCAGACCAGGGACCTAACAGGCACCCCCTGCATTGGGAGGCAAGTCTTAATCACTGGACCGCCACGGAAGTCCCCTCCATTTACTATTACGACAACTATTTACATTGTCATGCAAAGACTGTCTTGTCTCCAGTCACACTTTGGATTTTGCAGTTCTTGTGCATAACAAAAGGGTCTTCTAGGGTCTTCCCAGAACAAAGGGATATCTACCCTGCCCTGAAGTCCATGTCAGGATGGAGTTCCAGGCAGAAGAAGTTTCAGACAGCAGTCTCCACCAATTGATGCAGGGCAGCAGCCTCATACAAAGGAGAGAGAAGAGCTTTAGTTTCCTTTCTAAGGAGAAGGAACTTGTCAGAAGCGACCATAGGAGCCCTTCTAGCGTCAGAGGGTTGGCCTGTTTCTGACTGGCAGCTGTTGTCTACAGGATGCATTGCGACCAAAGTAATAATCATAGCAAACATTTAAAGGCCCTATGCTGGGGGCTCCATATCCAGAATCTCACTTAATCCTCACAACCATCTGAAGAAAAGAGCCTTAATACTCATTTAACAGATGAAGAAACTGAGGGTCAGATGGATTAAGAAAGGTTCTCGAGCAAATGACTCAAGCACAGCTCTAATTCACACCTGCCAACCTCAAGCCTGTGCTCTGGCCTCCACCTGCATTGCCTCCCCAATTATATTACTGGTGAGTTTGGATGGGGTGGGTGGGCTTCGTTCCGATTAATTTGTGTACATTAACGTTAAATTTGTATTTATTTATATTTAGGTTAAGGGCTCAAAGTTATTTCTACAACAAGGCTAAAGAGAAGCTATCTTTTTTCCTGCCCACCCCCCAAGAAAGAGCAGCGGCTAGGGGTGGGGCTGGACCTACCACACTCTGGGAAGCAGAGGTCTCCTCAGCCTGCAGCATCAGAGCCAGTCTGGGGAGCCCCAAGTGATCAAAGTCACGGTTGAATCTGCCAGGGGATTCACGGCAGCTCTACCTCGAGATAACACACTCCCATGTTGGCTTTTCTGCCCCAGTCAGAATGCAAATTTCATGTTTTTGTAGTGATATTTATTAATAGAGTCCATGTTTATTCAGACCAGGCACGTGGCTAGGGTCTTATATTGAAACCAATAACAAAAAGCCTGGAATTCCCATTTTCTTTCCTACTCCTGGTGCTTCTAGGGCCTTATCCCAGTCCTATTTGATCTACCAACACACAGGGATCAGGGAAGAGGCAGGCAACCTAATCTAACAAGGTGAGGGAGACACAGCACATCTGCCCTCCAGATACAGGGAGCTTTTATAAAAGGTAACAACGTATGTAAAATTTCCCCCCAAATTACAATTCTCAGAGAGAGAGGGTTAGGAAAATAAATTTAGAGAAAAGAGTGGCAGATGGGATAGATAGATTCAATTAAAGCAAAGAACATCAAACAATTCCAGGGATGCCTCATTTTAATGGAACATGTCATTTTCTCCTCATCGCCTCCAGGTAACTCCCAACATCGGTTTAAGTAGGAAGTAGGATGCGCACACAGCGCCTCAACCCAAGCAGGAGTTTAATATCCTCAAATGAGAGAGCTAATATTCCCTCCTCTCTTCTTTTCAATAATGTGGTGAAACAGCTCATGAATCACACTGAGCGAATGCTGGCTCCGTATTTGATGCACTTCCCCAGAACCAGGTGTTATTCAAATTAAATAGGTATTTTCCATTGTCATCTCCATTGAACTGATTTCTTTATTTGGTCGTTGGGAGAGTCTCCTTTTTAATTAAACCAACCGCTGTCATTTTTCTAAGAAAGATAATAAAACAATAAAAATATTTACACCCCTTTTATCTTCCTAAACATTAATCATGTGGGAAGAAGGTGCTACCCCTTTGCTAGACAGTTTTATCACACAGACATTATACTAACGTGCTTTAAATTACTGTTTTGCAGGTCAGTTTATTCCTATTAAGGATGTATAAGATTCTTGTTGTCACTAATAATATTTGTGACTATTTACTACCAAAAGGAATTCAAGTCTGCAATAAATTTGTCATATACATAGTTGGTATATAAGTATAGACATGCATATAACAATATATATGCACCACGCTGACCCCAATACTACTCCCAACTGACCTCAATTTTCATCTGAAGTCAAGTGTAAAAATCTAGTAGTTGGATGAGCAATGCCTTCTTCATTCTCTGGCTCCCAGCGGTGTAATCTAATCGACAGCCATGTTATCCATAGTTACGAAGTCATAGGTGGGTTATAGTTTCACAAAGATGGTATTATTATCTCCATAGTCAGAGAAACTGTGGAAGGTAGAGTAGAAACTACAATTATACCTTATAACTCTAACTGCAATAACGTATACGTGTTCTACGTGTTCTATCAGTTAAACATGGCAGTGGTATCCAAAGTCTTGTTTTGTAGAGAGGCCAAATCACTTTTAGATTCCAGCCCATACTTTACTATGTTGCAAACTAAAATCCCCCCAGCTAGAAGGGAATAACGTTTGGGCTGTCATATCATCTTCAGGGTGCTGGGCAGAAATAACTTGAGAAACTCAGCTGGGGTAGTAAACTAATGTTAAAATAGTGAACCACTGCACCTTAGATGCCCTTACTTTCCCTGCTGATAAACAAGTTTTGATTTTTCTTGAGTGACTTAAAGTGGCTCCCAGGAGAGGAGACAGAATTTTCTGGAAGCTCAAGTCACTGGCTCCCAGCCCCTGGGCTTGAGTCCCTTCATCACTGTACCCTCCACATACCTCAAGGAGGGTAGGGTTGTAACAGCCACTAGTGTGATGGCATCGCTGTCACTAAAGACTTTTTCCCAACAGTTACATCATGACCTTGTCCTTGGTGAACTCTCTATAAAGTAGTGATTGAGTTTAAATAGCAGAAACTTGAGTACCCAAAGGATAAAGATAAATTACTATACTCAGCATGTAGGAGATACTAGTGTAAACCAGCTGCACAAAGCTGGCCAAAAATTTCGAGAAGGATGATACACAGTTCACAGGAGGCTCAAAAGAGGAACAAGGGAACGTTGCTCAGACTCTTCCTTTGTTAAACGTATTTTTCTAGTAAGTTTTTTGTTAACCCATCACTTTACACCCAAACCATTCTGTATTAGTTATCTATTGCCATGTAACAAGTTACTTAACAACTTAAAATGACAAGCGTTAAGGATCTCACAGTTTACGTGGATCGGGAATACAGGCTTGACTTAGCTGGGAACCTCTGCCTCAAGGTCTTTCACAACTGTGGGCCAGGGCTGTGGTCTCATCTCCAGGCTCGATTGGAGAAGGACACGCCTGTAAACTCTCGTGGCTGTTGACAGGAGTCAGCACCTCACGGGGTACTGAACAAAGAGCCTCACTTCCCCATGGCCTGTCGGCCAGAGGCCTCCCTCAGTTCCTTGCCACATGTACCTCTCCAAAGGGCAGTTCACAACTGCAAGCTGTGGCCTTCCCTTAGAGCAGGCCAGTGACAGCAAGAGTGAGCAAGACAGAAGCCACAGTCTTTTTGGAACCTAACCTCAGAAGGGACATCACTTTGCCACATTCTATTTGTTAGAAGCAAGTCACTAGGTCCAGCCCACAGAGAAGGGGAGGGAATCACAGAAGGGCATGCAAACCAGGATGTGGGGGTCATTGGGGTCATCTTAGAGGCTGCCTACCACCCTTGCATGCACAATGAGGAATAAACACCAAAATGGAAGGAAAATTGGAAAGCTGTAGGGGAAGAGGAAAATGTTCTATGATCTAATTACTTCTACCTCTGAGCTCGCTCTCTCCCTTTCCCCAAATCCAGTCATACAACGTACTCTCTGATGAGGCCCTTCTTCACAGTGTCTCTCATACCTGTCTCCTCCTCTCCACCTGCATGGGACCATCAAAGTTCAGGCCTTCCTTTCTTCACATCATGAATAGTGCAGCACTACTTTTCTAACCAGCTTCCAGAGTCCAGTACATCCTAAACCTGGCTTTGAGGTACAGGATGCCAAGTGCAGGAGCATAAGATGACAGGCACAGCAGACCTCAGTACAAAGCAACTTCAAATCCATGCTCTTCAGCCATGGGGCAGAAACAGAGGTTGTAAGAACTAAAAGGGTGCTGGGGGAAATGAGGGAAATATATCGATTGTGGGGGAGTGTCCGTATATTTTAGGTAATTCCTAGTAAATTAAATGACTTTTTTTTTTAAGAGAGAGATACCAGAAGACCTTCTAAGGCCTTTGCTGCCAACCCCTAGGGAGAGGGGGGGGAAATCTCAATTAAAGCCTCAAATGTCCAAAATCCAGAGAAAATTTAATGCTTCCTTTCTAGCTGGCCAAAGAAGGTAAGCCTGAAGTGAATTCTCCCAGCAATCAGATTCCCGCCGTCGGTTGCACGCGCTAATCCGGGCCATCCTCATCTCACAGTGGGGAGCGCTGGAAACGGCTCCAGGGGCTTGGCCCGCTAAGCAGCATCCTCCGACAGTGGGTGAGTCCGCTCTCCCACTATCGTGATCCTGGAGCAAAGTCTGCGCAGTGGTTCTCTGAGAGCCGGAGACACGCGTCGCGCGGGGGGGACCCCGGCCCTGAGTTTTGAGTTTTGAACGCCCCGCCGTCTGAGATGGGAAGGCAGCTCCTCTCGCCCCAAACTCACCTGCTTTTTAGAACCACTTCCATCTATCCGGCTCCCAAAGGCATCCGCAGAATCCTCCACGGCCCAAGGTACACCGTGAAAGAGAAGACACGGTGGAGGGAGAGGTGGCTGGGAGGAGAGGTCACCAGGGTCCCCTCCCTGGCTTGGGGTGGTCGTCGGAGAAGGGGGCTGCTCGGCCCCTCCCCACTAAGCGGCGGGAATCCTCGCGGGGGCGCCTCACCGTGGGCGACAGGCACCGGAGAGGGAAGGACGCGCTGGAGGGGCTGCGTGCAAAAACTTTCCGTCCTCGAGCGCAACTCTGCGGGGAAGACCGTCCTTCCCACGGCCCCAAGTCGCGCCTCTCTCAGGCCATCCCCGACCCCTGCCCGCAAGCCCAGCCCCTGCGACCCCGGCTCCCGGGTGCCGGTGGTGGCCACGGCGCCGTACCATCCCAGGGCCGGGCGCTGCAGCCTCGAGTCCCGGCGCGCGGCCCCGCCCCCGGCGGCGGGCGTGCGGGCGCCGGGCCTCGGGGCGTCTCTCTGGTGCCCCTGGCGGCGGCGGACGCCGAGAGCCGAGCCGGGCCGGGCGCTGAACGCCGGCTCCTCCTCCTCGCTCTCTCCTCCTCCTCTGCCTCCCTCCCTCCCTCCCTCCCCCTTTCAGAACACTCAATGTCGGAACGTTCCGAAGATGACGTCGGAGCGTTCTCGAATCCCGTGTCTCTCGGCTGCTGCTGCCGAAGGAACAGGGAAAAAGCAACAAGAAGGAAGAGCAATGGCGACACTGGATCGCAAAGTGCCCAGTCCGGAGGCGTTTCTGGGCAAACCCTGGTCCTCCTGGATCGACGCCGCCAAATTACACTGCTCCGACAGTAAGAACCCCACCGCCTCCTCCTCCTTTTATTACCCTGTAACCTTTCCATTCACCTAGAGCCACTGGGAAAAAGTGTGTGTGTGGAGAGAGAGTGGCCCCCGGTGTCCTCCATGCTTCTCCCTCTCTCTAAATAAATACACACAGAGACAGATCATCAATGCACAGAGAGAGGCCCTGCTGCCAGGGCTGTCTGTCTGTCTGTCTGTGCCCGCTCCCCGTGGCAGCCCGCGGGGTGGGCTTTCACAGCCCCACGGTGTATCCGTTCAAAAGGCTACTCTGTTGCTGCTTGCATAGTTTTTTTGGTACCTATCTGGGCCAGGTAGATGGAAATACGGACTTGGGAGAAAATGTTGCATTGTCAATTTTTGAAAGATTTTCATATCCAGTATTTATATCGATCTGTTTGCAAATAAACACTCTCCCTCCCCCCCCTTGACTTTGGCTCCCCCCCCTTTTTTTCTCTTTTTGTCCTTATTTTCTTTTTTCCTTTTCTTTTTCATCTGCAGATGTAGATTTAGAAGAGGCTGGAAAAGAGGGTGGAAAAAGCAGGGAGGTTATGAGGCTTAATAAAGAAGGTAAGTGGAGCTACTGGCGTCTTAGTGTTAGCATGTGTGGCAGAATCTTCACAGGATTTCGACTATAATGTGAATTGTTCTGCTGGGTACAGAGTGACTAAGGCTTGTCAAAAATTGAGCACGCCCAGGTGACTACTGCTTCGTGTTAACTTCTTTCAAAGTATAAATACAACTGGGGGGTAGAGGCGGGGAGGTTGTTGACGGCAGAAGTTTCCTGCACTTCAGCTGGAGTCCACATTTGGACCTTCTGGTGCATATCTGCCATTCGCCTTTGGAGCATCATTGCCAAATAGTGCGGGGTGGAAATCGCTGAAATGAGGAGCGGGGCTCCCTTCACAAGCACCCCAGCCTTCCTCGTGGGTAAATACACAACAATTTAATGAACCCGATGTGGTCAATCATCCCAGCAGCTACTTCTCCACTCTCCCCTGAAAGCCATGGTACGTGGCAAACCTTTGCAGCAAGTTACGTTTGGCACACTTTGTGTTTGGTCACAGATTGTTATGTGGTGAGCAGGGTTAGGGGCATCTGTGTGTGCAGCCCCCAGTCGGTCACCCATCTCTGCTTCCCCAGCGTGGAATGGAAATACAGTACCTGAAATGGGACACAGTGAGTAGCTAGGTCATCCCAGACGGAGGCAGGCGAGTGAAGCCACAGCCTACTGGAACTGGGCATCAAACACACATGGTCATCATAAATAAATCATAGCCTATTCGCGTTTGCAAGCCTGCCACATGTAACTCTGACCTGTGGGCTTCACATGGAGCAACTCCAGAGGCCACTTTCTGCTGAACAAATGGATGGGTTCATTTGAATTGTGATTTACTAACTGGTGTCTTGTAAACGTGGTTGGCTGAAATTGGGGGTGGGAGGAGGTGCAGGGGGGCAGAAGAGGTTGGCAGGAAGTGTTGAAAGAGTTCAGCCATAAGTAGGCCATAGGAGCCTGGCTCATCCAAAATGAATGGAGAAAAGGCCATTAGACACAAAAGAACGGTCTCCCTCATAAACCATGGTGTCACCCTGGTAGGCAGCTGAAACCTGCTTGGAAAGATGGAACTCATTTTGTGGATCACACCTCAGACAGACGGTTTTCTGTGCCCAATCATTTCCTGACCATCCAGTGAGAGGAGAATTTGTGCTTCAGAAAAAATGACATGGAGGTTCAAATGCATGCATATTCAAGGACAGCGCTCTAGCGTAATGTTTCTGCTAATTAAGCACTTTGGGAACGAAACCTTATTCTAAAGATGTTTGCTTCTAAATATCTTAGTGTGATCTTGACATGTGTCTTTAGGATGCACAAGGGAATGATGTCAAGTGGACTTCTTACAAGAGGCAGCTTATTTGTGCACAATGTCCTTGTGTGTTGGCATTGGAAAGTGTCACTGGAGATTGTTTTTCTTCACAAACTGTTAATATCTTTAAAAGCTTACGGGGGGGCTTCCGAGGTGGCGCAGTGGTTGAGAGTCCGCCTGCCGATGCAGGGGACGCGGGTTCGTGCCCCGGTCCGGGAAGATCCCACATGCCGCGGAGCGGCTGGGCCCGTGAGCCATGGCCTCTGAGCCTGCGCATCCAGAGCCTGTGCTCCGCAATGGGAGAGGCCACAACAGTGAGAGGCCCGCGTACGGCAAAAAAAAAAAAAAAGCTTACGGGACTCAGTTATCAGACCACTGGCAATGAACAGGTTTCCACGAAAGGAGATGAAGTTGTAAAAACCTTTAAAGTTGAATAAAGGTCATGGTATGGCCCAGAATTGGCACCTCTCAGACCTGCGTGATAGATTATGACTATAGCACACAAAACTCATATTCTGTACCCTTCTCTGGGCTTCTGGTTCAAAAAACTCTCATTCTCAGATTCTCTTTGCATCATGAGAAATAGATTCTTTTAAGGAAAGAAAAAATGTAAAGCTCTCCTTTCCTCAGAAGTCACAAGTGGTACATCCCGCTTATTATATCCTTTTCCTGTAAAGGTACAAAGATTTAGCTCCTAATGATATGCATTTGCATTAAGGACCCCCACTGTTCAGTGTAACATGCAATTGCTGAGTTCACCAAATAGCCATGGATGGGCTGAAATCTCTTTGTTCGTGGGCCTGGTGGAGTAGGTCTGGGTTAGCAATTCCTGGAGGTCTTCCTGGCATGTGCACACAGTTTTCTTTATGGATAGCGTATACATATATGAAGTATATATCTCTTCCCCATGGTGAGGAGTTTAAAGGTTGAGCTGAGACTTGGTGTCAGGGTGTTTGGTTGCCAAAGTCCCCGGAAACACTGGTTGCCTTAGTCTCGCTGTTGGCCTTCTTGTTGGAGTCTTTGTGTGGCAGGTCTGAGGATGAATATGGTTGTGGATGGATCTCTGCAGGACAAAACGTGGCCTAGGTGTGATTGTGTTTCTCCGTATGTGAGCATCCATAGACTGACCGGGATGTCATCAACAGTAAGCAGGTCTTGAGATTTGTGTTTTAATAGCAATGAATAGATAAAGTTTAGGAATTCCAATTAAGAAATGAAGGTATATGATCCAGATTTTGATATTTTTTTTATTGTGGTAAAATAAACGTAACATAAAATTTACCATTTTAACCATTTTAAAGTCTACAATTCAGTGATACTAAGTACATTCACCGTGTTGTACAACCCTCAGCACCATCCGTTTCCTGAACGTTTTCATCATCTCATCCAGAAACCCTGTCTCCACTGTATAATAATTTCCCAGTCCCCCTCCCCCAGGGCTGAGCCCTGGAAACCTCTCTTCTATTTTCTGTCTCTATGAAGTTGCCTATTCTAGATACTATATATTTGCAATATGTGTCCCTTTGTGTCCAACTTCTTTCACTTAGCATCATGTTTTCATTGTTCATCCGTGTGGCAGCGGGTATCAGAATTTCATTCCTTTTTATGACTGAATAATATTCCATTGTATGTACATGCCATGTTTTGTTTATCCATTGTCTGTTGATGGACATTTGGCTTGTTTCCACGTTTTGACTATCGTCAGTAATGCTGCTGTGAACATTGTGATGTGATATTTTTTATAGACTAAGCTCAGGGAAAAAAATTAGGCTGGGAAAGTGAAAAAAATAATCATTTTACCTTCTGCCTCCATCTGGCCACAGCTTCAGAAGATACAGGAAGGACTTGCCGACTTTTGAACAACCTGATTATTCTGAGATAATTCCTTCTGCGTTTCTTGAACCTTTTTCGACTTCAATTCTCCACGTATATCAGTATGAAATGTTAACTGAATGCTTTGAAATTTCTGTAGTAAAGTCTTCACATTCATGTTATTATTTTGTCCAAAGTTAGCTAAAATTATGCTCAAGAGGAATTTGGCAAATACTTTTGAACCTTGCCAGATCGTCACCTGGGTTCAGAAGGTGTTGTTAATCCCGTGCTTGTGTGTGGTCATGTGGTGTTATATTGAGGGCAGCCTGAAGCGGTGAAGGGAGCAGGGGAGAGGACTTTAAGCCTGCTTCCTCATCCCGTATAATATGACCTTGGGAATATCACTTCCCTTGTCTGGGCCTGTTTTCTTTCTTGTAAAGTAAGGGAGTGGATTAAAAGTCTCCTGAGGTCCTTTTGAGACCTCTGAACCTAAGTGTCTCTGTTGAATGTACCTACATTTGAGATGCAGTCATACTAGACAGGCTGTTTTTTGAAGAAACTTAAAAAAAAAAGCAAGCCCTCGCATTAAAAATACCTTGCACTACTACATCCTGGGTTTATTTTCTCCTTCTATAATCTCTTGGTGGCAAACCTCACTGCATCTCCTACAAAAGCATATTGCGCTGCAAATAGTCTGTGAATGGTATGTGGCCTTTAGGACTCTGAGAAAACTGAGGGTCTGAGTCCAAAGCCCAGGGTGATGTGTTCCCCGTAGTGGAGAGGGGGTTGACCTCAGTCAGCTTGGATCCATCAAGCACTGAGATTTCCTAAGAGGAGGAGTCCCAGAAACCTGATCAGCCTAATCTAATATGTGAGCT